GCTGGCGGGGCAAGTCCCCCGCCACGGGGACCCTGCCCAGCCTCCATGCCAAGGCGGAGAGGGCAGTACGAACGACCGCTGACCCGGAAGTCAACGCGACGCGGTTCGTCGCGCTGGCTCCGTGCGCATGCGCGGAGGCGGAGTAGCGGGTGCTGGGGTGGTTGTTCAGCGCACGAGCTCGCGCCTAGGGCTGGCTTGGGCGGTGAGCGCTCCTTGAGCTCCCAACCCGCTCTCTGCGGCCTTTCCCTGTGTGGAAACTCGGCAGAGAGGCTCTGCGGGCGGGCCTCGGGGTAGGCTGGGAGGGTTGCAGCGCTACCAGAGTGCTGTTGCCGTTGAAGCTGGGGCCGTCGCCGAAGGCTGTATGTTTTTGTGTGGTGTTTCCTCACTGGGGAAGCCAAGCGAGGGTGGTGGAAGGGCTTCAGAGTTAGCAGCTGAAGCCTGGAGCGTTCATTTCAATGGAGAATGTTTCCTTCCTATGTTTTATCTTGTTTCCTGCCTGCTTAAAGAATGCCACCCTCTAATAAATCTGAGAGTGGGCACTGCTTCAGCAGTGGTGAATCCCTTTGAAGGTAATCCTTACGGGGTTGGTTTTGTTTCGCACAGCATTAATACATGTGTTGGTACTTGGCTTTGTAACTGACTTGCTGTTTTTTATAAATAGCAACAAAAAGCTTTTATCTGTCAGTGCCTAGCTTGAACACTAGGTGTGTTACCAACAGTGTGTGTGTCCTGGTTTACTGGTACAGAATTTAAGAGTCAGTTTTCTGTTCAGTTAAACTTCAGTTTTGTAAGGACTACAACCCTCTTTCATGGGAACAAAGTGATAAGACACTTTGTTGTAGTTTTTGGCCAGCACTGGTATGTGATGATCAAGGTCTTTAGCGGTCTTGAGATAAACAGGTGCAGTGGCTATGAGAAGCAGAAACCCAGGGTAGCAGACTCCAGGCTGACCATTAGTATTATGCTACGCCATAAATGTCACAATCACTGTAAAGTGGGGAGTTTGCTGGTAACAGCTCTCTTTCCATGGCTCTCATCTTAAGAAGGACTTGTCTACTGTTCTACCTCTGAGGCCTACTTACCCACTATATTGGCTGAATATAACTCTCTGTACTTTGTATTAATACTGTTATTGGTATTAGCTTTTATTATTATTAAATCTATTTCTGTTTCAACTGACAGATCTCCTTTACTTGTCTCGATTCCCCTGAATGGGGAGGAGTCATCGAGTGATAGAACATGTGTATAAACCACAGCAGTATGTTAACTGGTTGCTAAAGATTTAGGCCAGAGTCACCTAAAAAGAAAGGATGCTTGTTACCTAAAAAAGAGTTTATTGGGACCAAACAAGGACCTGGTGGGTCACTCTCTGAACTTGAAAGTGGTAGAGATTTGGTGGTTAGGTTTGTATTGAAGTGGGAGATGGGAGTCTGTGTGCTTGCTTCCAGCTGCTGCCGTTGAAATGGCAGCATTAGTGGATGCTTGCAGTTTATCAGAAATCAGGAAAAGCTGAAGAAAAAAAAAAGATATTTCTGATAGTGTGATGTCTGCTGTGACATTTTCTTGTAAACATTCAGTACTGTGGCTTGAATTCACCATATCCTGATGTGCCTCTACTTGCCTGGAATGCACCACTCCCTTTCAGGCTTTCCTGGAGCGAGCCATTGTCTCTTCACCCTGGAATTCAAGTGAAGAGGCTTAAATTGCTACTGTCTGATGGCTGTATGAAAAAAGCCCATGCCTCATGATAGGAGAGGGAAAGTTTTAGAGATTGAAGGTGTCTGAAGTTAGTAGGGAATGTGGATGCAAAATATCTGAAATTAGTTGAAAATGCAACTATAAAACAAACAATGTGATCATGTCCTGAAAATCAGGATTCTTTACCTGGTGTGCAAAATTCAATCTAAACAGAGTAGAGATATTTGTTTTATTGCATTTCTGCGCAGAGATGGATGCTAGGTGGTAAAGCCGCAAAACTGTCACACCTCTGCAGTACAGGAGTTCTTTTATAGGCCAAAGAATGCAAAATCACCTTATCTCTAAGTATACGGATATCACTTGCCCATATGATCTGCTAATTAACTCTTCCATTTAAAGTGGTAGTATTGTTTAGAGAGGGTAGGGCTCTTTTGTGAGTAGGGGCCCTTGTAGCCTCAGGGAAAGTATTTTAGTATGTTAATGAAGTAAGTTCACAGAAAATTTATGTAGCCAGTGCTTTCTATTTATCAGTTCTACTCCTTGTGTTAGTGCTCAAGGCTAAAGACGTTAGTTGTCTGTATCTTCCATTCAACTCCTCTTCCTACCATGATAAGTGGCGGGTTGCACCAAGAAAGCTGTAGAGGAGATGGGTTTCTGAGTATTGGATTTTTGAAATAATCTAGGACAGAATAAAAAACTATGTCCTGTGGGGTTCTCAATTCATCGCTTTCATTATATGATACAGAAGTTCCTAATTTCCATGAGATAGCTCTGCCTGACAATGTAGATTACTTCCAACTTTCATCCCTGCCAATCACCTGTGCCCACCCTACCGAAGCACTCCCCAATATATGAATAGCAGTTATGCACATTATTAATCAGAAGGCAAAAGATTTTGGCCTCATAGGCTCACGACCGTTTTATGGGACTATAGCACACTTTCTAAGGCATTTTATTTGATGCTTCTTCCTGCTTAGCTTTCAGTGTGTTCTAGGGAAGGACTACAATGGTTTGTTAAATCATACATTTTTGTAAGGAAGGACAAGTTTATGGACTGCACCTTCTATAAACGTGTAGCTTCCATGGGTAGAAAGTCACTATCGGTGTCCTTTATTGAAGAAAATAATGACTCTGAGCTGTTGTTTTGTCTGTCGATTGTAAAAATAATAGTATCCATTTAGTTTTTTCACTTGCACTATCCCCAAGTCCCTTAGACTTCCAATGGGAAAAAAAAGAATTAAAACCATGCAGAAAACCACTGAGGTTACCATCCTTTCAGAAATCTTACCTAATACAGTCTGCTTCTAAGATACTTAAAGGTACTTAAAAGTTTCACCTGGCTACATACATCCATATGTTGGCTTAGAACTGCAACTGAAGAGCCATAGGTGGTAGAGCATATCCACATCCTTGGCACCTCGTTCCCTGTCCTCCAGCCTTGTTTAGAAGTTCACCCATAGAAGGAAACCTTAACAAGGATGGCCTTTGTGACATCCGGTCTACTTCTGCCACTTCCTTCCTCATGCCATCTTGCAACTATTGAGAACAGGAGTTTAAAATTGGTGATGGCACGGCCAAGTCCTGATGATGATGCATTACATAAAATCTCATCCTTGGGCAAGGCGTAAGGCCAGCTTTTAACCCCTTTCTGTAAATCTAATATCGTGAATATTTTTCCCCCTTTTTTTTTTGGCAGGTGCCATTATCCAATATGGTATTTGTGTTTAAAAATCTGTGCACTAGAGTAGTCCTTTAGAAATGTCAAGGTAACATTTCTTGGGGAGTTTTGAGCCGTTTTAATGATACGTACAATGATGGTTTGATGTTTCAGCAACTCTTCTAATTGCTGTTTTGTGTGTGTTTTTAAACATCTACAATCTACAAAACTCACAGATTATTTGTAAAAAAGAATAGCATTGAGTTACATATTTTTGCACTGCTTCAGGAGTAAAAAAATTCTAAAAAGATGGATTACCACTCACTCACCTGTGACTCCAATTTTTTAATGACTTAGTATCATCCAAAATTGATGAACATACTTTGGATACAAAATACTGTAATAATGAAACTTGAAGAAATTTGATACTATTAAATTATTAAAGGAAAACTTTAGAAAAATAAGATTCTCTTAAAATGAACTGGTTACTTATGTAACAAGGAGTTGGAAGGTGTGAAAGTCAGATGGTTTTTAATTGTGATACTTTGCAAAACAAAGTCACTGGTGAATATTTAGAACCCTTGAAGCTAGAGCTCAAGAATTAGCAGGATGAGTTGTGTGTACACTGTCAAGTGGTTTTAAAGCTCTCTTGGATAAATTCTTCTTCATCCCCTTGTTGAACAGTTAGTGACAGGCTCTATAGAGATCCACTGCAAAATAAAGATCTGGCTTAGCAAGTAAGTTTAGTTTTACAATATTGCATAAGACATAACAAGTAGATGTGTGAAAGAATTGGAGTATGCCATGATCTGGTAAGGAAAGTTGCCAAAAACAGGTACTGAAAGTTTATGTGCTCAAGCACATAGCTGAAATGGTGTCTCTTTTTTTAATTGCAATTTTTTGCTTGGCACTCCTGGATAATAGAGTAAAACACAACAGCTGAGAGCTTGATTCTTCAGTGGTTGCCAAGAGTTAGCAGGACTGTTTGGAAAAATCACTCCCTAATGAAGAAATAACAGGCTTCATACCAAAAAAAGAGCATTGTTGTAACTACTACAAGTGGTGGCAAACAAAGCATCAGTCATTTGCCTGAAGCATTATGGCACATCAGCAAGAACCAGGAGTGGGTGTTTTTTGTGGAGACAATACTCAAAGCCTCAATTAATATGGACTGTACCCACATTGGTAACAATTACTACTAGTATTAAGTGGTACTGTAAGGTATTTTGAAAAGTACCTTACATGTTAACCAATACTTAGGACTATTTTATAAAGCAGACAGGGAACAGTTAGGAGAACCTGGGTTCTAAAAGAGATATGGTTGTGTATCTTGTAAAATTCAGGTGCTCAGGGTTAAATACCAATGATCTGATTTTCATTGGCAATGACATTCAGCTGCTCTTATTTCAATTACATGGATGTATATGCATTTATTGGGAAGATCAGGCTGAGCTCCTAACTTTGGATAACTTCAAAATCACAAGCAACTTGTGACGTAAGTTTGCTTCAATTGTCTGAATTTATTCACAGCACCAGTAGCAATGAATCCTGGTTGTTTTTGATAGGTGTTCTATTACCCAACATTTAGATAGTGGTGCAGTTGTTAAGAATAAAAATATTCTATTCACAAAATTCTTAAATCTACGGGAAAGGCTTAACCTGAAATGTTCTTCTCAGCTACCAATGTATAATTGTTTTTTTTTCTCCTCTCCTGCTTCTTGTTCCTACTGGTTTTTGCAAGTTGATGTACATTCTCTCTTTCAAGGGTGTGCAGCACATGGACATGAGTAATTGGGCATGAAGAGACCTTTTACTACAAATAAACCTGAATAGTACAATGCATGTAATAGAACTTGGAGCTTCTCTTAACAGATTGGTAACTGTTGTGCTGGCACATTTGTTGTTTGTAAAAAGCATACTTTTTACTGAGTTCTGGTTTTTTTGAATATGTTTATTATAGCACAGTACTTGCAAGATAGGCTTATATTTGACAGCGGAAAAACTATTACTTCAGGATTGTAATACTGTTTTGCAGATTTGGTGCTATTTTATCATGCGTTATTATTCCTTTTTCCCCTCGTTT